TTAATTGATAGCATCAATGCACCCAAGAAAGTTCTGTGGCAAGGGCAACACAGCTAGCAAATTTCTGTGGGCACTTCGCATTCGTCTCAATATCTGAACCCAAGAAAGTTGAAGAAGCCTTCATGGATTCAAGCTATGCAAGAAGAGAACAATTTGAGCTGAATAATGTATGGGAACTGGTTAAGCATCCTGATCCTCGCAAGCACAATATAATAGGCACCAAATGGATATATCGCAACAAGCAAGATGAGCATGGTCAAGTTGTCAGAAACAAAGCTCGTCTCGTTGCTCAAGGGTACACTCAAGTTGAAGGGATTGACTTTGATGAAACATTTGCTCCTGTGGCTAGACTTGAAGCCATACACATACTGCTGGCCTATGCAAATCATCATAACATTATTCTGTATCAAATGGATGTGAAGAGCGCTTTTCTCAATGGCAAGATTGAAGAAGAAGTGTATGTTGCACAACCGCCTGGCTTTGAAGATCCAAAACATCATGACATGGTGTACAAACTCAACAAGGCACTATATGGCCTCAAACAAGCCCCTCGGGCTTGGTATGACACACTCAAGGACTTCCTGAAGAGCAAAGGCTTCAAACCTGGTTCCCTCGACCCCACTCTCTTCACGAAGACATATGATGGTGAACTATTTGTGTGCCAAATATATGTGGATGGCATTATCTTCGGCTGCACCAATCAGAAATACACTGATGAGTTTGGATATATGATGCAAGAGCAATATCAGATGTCCATGATGGGTGAGCTGAAGTTCTTCCTTGGTCTTCAAATATGTCAGCAACGCAACGGCATCTTCATATCTCAAGAGAAGTACCTCAAAGATTGCCTGAAGAAATTTGGGATGCAAGACTGCAAAGGCTTCACGACGCCAATGCCAGCCAAACATCATCTGGGTCCCGACGACAATGGTAAAGAGTTCGATCAAAAGGTATACCGCTCCATGATTGGTTCTTTACTTTATCTATGTGCATCTAGGCCAGATATTATGCTTAGTGTTGCATGTGTGCTCGATTCCAAGCGGCACCAAAGGAATCGCATCACTTAGCTGTGAAGCGAATTCTCAGATATTTGGCTCACACCCCAACACTAGGATTATGGTATCTAAAGGGCTCAGAGTTTGATCTGGTTGGATTCTCGGATGCTGATTATGCTGGTGACAAGGTGGATCGCAAGTCTACATCAGGCACATGTCATTTTCTGGGACGATCACTTGTATGTTGGTCTTCAAAGAAGCAGAACTGTGTATCTCTCTCCATTGCTGAATCTGAATACATTGCTGCTGGATCTTGCTGCACTCAGCTTCTATGGATGAAACAAACACTCAAAGACTATGGCATTCATCTGAAGCAAGTGCCACTCTACTGCGACAACAAAAGCGCCATCAAGATTGCCAACAACCCAGTTCAGCACTCGAAGACAAAGCACATTGAAATTCGTCATCACTTTCTTAGAGATCATGTTGTGAAGGAAGATATTGATATCATACACGTCAACACTGAAGAGCAATTGGCAGATATCTTCACCAAGCCCTTGGGTGAGAAGAGGTTTTGCAAGTTACGGTGTGAGCTAAATATCTTGGAATCCTCAAATGTCCTGTGATCAGGCACACATCCTAACACTTATGCATATTGATGACTTAGATGTGCAACACACGAAGTAAAGTATATCTTCAATCAATGAAGACTTACATTCTAAGTGTGAATACATTAATGTGGAATTTGACTTCGGAGCGCCGCGATAATTGTGCGTCGTGTCTGGGTCTAATACTTCCTATACGGTGGGTAACGCCACCACCAAAATTTTCTGTTTGAAGTGCTTCACTCATGGCGTTACGTTTGGAATGTCTTCACATTTGGTTTGACTTCAATCTCAACTTGTCTGCATGATTATCTTCACTATGTTGATTTGATTGTCTTTCTCATATATAGCATATAGTGCCACCCCTAGTTGGTTTTGGAGTATTGACGACAAACCTAGTTGAGGGACTAATGTGTTTGTGAGAATTGCAGGATAACACAGGTAGAAGTCCCTCATTGATTCGGTTTTCCTACCAGAGATGACCCCTAAAAATGTATGAAGACATTGAAGTCAGAGGTGAAGACATTCACATTGAAGACTATGATAAGAGAAGACATCGCGTGAAGACTATGGAGCGCGAAGACTTAGCAATTTCGTCGTTCTGTGTTTTTCTTTGATGAGTTGTAGGAACCACCGTACTGTTAAGTGGGGTCCAAGAGAACCAGTCAGAATGACTGAAGTGATGCTTAACCAAAAATTCTATGTCTTCGAGTGAAGACTATGAGAGCAAATCTTGTCCAACATTGGATAAGTCAGCTTTGCTTGTAGCCCAAGTAAAGTTGCCGTGTGTGTTTGAAATCTGACCGTTGGAACACGTGTCAGTTCCTTAGTGACCCAGGGTCATTTCGAACAAATCAGGTCGGGTTGCCTAGTGGCTATAAATAGCCCACCCCCTACAACCATAAACGATTGGCTGCTTAGAGTTAGAGTACGACTTTTGTCGTTTGAGAGCAACCCACCTCGAAGCCTTTGAGAGAGAATTCCTTGCGAGGATAAAGCCCTAAACACCCAGAGCCAAAGAGTGTTAGGCATCACTTAAGTCTTCCTGTCTGTGTGATCTGAAGACTTTTTACACTTGAGGACTGTGAATCCTCCAGCCGGTTAGGCGTCGCGTTCTGAGCATCCAAGAGTCATTGTGGATCGCCGGTGAACGAAGTCTGTGAAGGTTTGGAAGTCTACCTTGAAGACTTACCAGAGTGATTGGGCGAGGACTGGGTGTCCTTAGCTCAAGGGGAATAAGGTGAAGACGAGGTCTTCTGAGTTGAATCTCAGCCTCCCTAACCAAAAGTACAGTTGTCACAGCAACTGGAACTGGTCCAACAAATCATTGTCTTCAACGAGTCACTGGTTTCATCCTTCCCTTCCCTTTACTTACTGTTGGTCCTTGTGAGGTCATTGTATGATTGCATTATCTTTTGTCTTCACTAGTGACTGCTTGTTCTGATTGGCTTCACAATATCTTCCTACCTTATATTTACTGCCCAGCTGCCATTAGTCATTGTGCTTTCACTTCATTGAATACTTGACTATGGTTTGCCTAGTGTAGTCTACCTTCCGCTGCATGGTAATAGGTTTATTTCTATCGTTTGTCTTTGAAACTTCCATGTTTTGAAGACTTTCATAAAAATCGCCTATTCAACCCCCCTCTAGTCGATCACTAGCACTTTCACAAGGCCCAACCCAGGAGAGAACGAAAAGAGCCCAGTTGGCTTACAAGAGTTGAGTTCGTCGAACCTTGTAACTATAAGTAGTTCTCTCTGTCGATCATTGCAACTTGGAACGAAAGGAATAAGATAGGCTAGGAACATGATGCGTCAGTGATTCGCCATGAGGGTGTGGATGGGTGCAACAGGTCGGCTCCAACCACTGCTTTTTGTTTGAAATTCAAATCTCCATGATTTACTTCCCTTCCCTAGTTTGATTGCTAGATCCACTAGCGTGTTCCTCATAATTGTATTAGTTTCAATGCAAAACCTGGACCACGTGGCACATCACCACGGGACGAGGTTCCGCGGCCGGCGGCAAAAGCAAGTTATGGAGCAGCTCACGCCGGATAGTCACGTCGCTTACGACCTTCTCAATACAGAGTTGCCACATATACACGGGAGAGGTCGCTCGGGGAGATGAGGATCTTGTAGTGCTTCACCGACTATAGCTGGACACCTCAACAAGGCGGTGCCAGATCAAGTCAAGTGAGGCGAGGGGGAGGGTTAGGCTGTTGGCGATTAGGAGGAGCGAATAAAGGAGAGGACCGAGGAGATGGGATTGAGTGAGACGAGGCATAGGGAACCATGAGAGGAAGGAACATTCGGGGCAGAGTTAACAAGGGTAATTTTTTCGTACGTTCTTTTTAGATAGGAAAAAATAAAAGATATTACCGTCCATTATTGAAGTGAGTTAATTGTGTTATGCATTACCAGATAAGATGTTGATTGCCATACATGAATTGATTATATTGCAAAATATTGATTGGGTTTGTCTGGCTAGATGAAATCGTTTTAAACAAAAACCCAGGAGCATATGAAAATCAATGGAAGGGTGGGAGGGACAGACGAAGGGATCAGACGATGTAAGGTGGGAGACAGAAACCGAACATATTTTTTAGGTAGTAGAGATTAACCTCTACATTTCCATACTCTGGCTAAGTATTTAAATAATTACTCTATTTAATGGACAAACCTCTTGTTTTTTCGTTGAAATAGAATTTTGCTAAGGACGACTTGATGCATAAGCAAACGGATCAAGCTAGCTTTCTTTGGGATGTTCCATCCTATGAAATATTGTAAATTATAAAGTTTCCTCCACCAGCTTAAATTATTGCATCATTGAGAGGGTGGTGAAAGATGCTGATTTGTTTTGTTTCTTTGCAAGGAGAGGGTGATTAAGGCGATATGGTGATGACCGAGGAGGAAAGGAGTGGGAACTAGAATTAGTTTGTTGTTGTACGAATAGAAATAGAAAACCACACGCCGTCACATTTGACACATTTTTGAATTTTAACCTTTGTTTACTCACATTTTGTATTTCGTGGCAACGCAGGAGCATTCAACTTTTTTTTTTGAGAACGCAGGAGCATTCAGCTTGTCCATATAATAAAATCTTATAATCTTCTAAGTTATGGCCCCTTAGAATTTGCACGCACATTTCCTAGGAAAACCTTTTAGGTTGGTCCGTTGGGCCGGCGCGGGACCACGATGATGATGGATGATGGAAGCTGGGCCGGCCCGGCCCTTGGCATGGGGCTTTCTTCTTGCATCCACCCGACAGCGAGGAGCAAAGCGAAGCGAAGGAACACTCTTTCCCCTCCGTTCGTCCCCTCCTAAAACCCTAGCAGCCCAGGCGGCGGCCTCCTCCCTCCTCCACCGCGCCACCCCGAGCCCCGCGCCTCTCGCCGTCCGGAATGGGGCGCGCCGACGAAGAAGACAAGGCCGCCCTCTCCCCCGGCGGGGACGACGCCGCCGACCTCTCCCCCGACGACTCGCCGTGGAGCGATAGCGCCTGGTCCGAGGACGACGACGACGACGAGGTCCGCCCCCGCTCCCCCACTCACCCCATCGATTTTCTACTTAGCGCTGATGGGTTGTCCTTGCTGCCGCCGCAGGCATCGCTGTCGTTCGAGGACAGCGGCGAGGGCTCTGGCTCCGACGCCGACTCCGACGGCCTGGAGGAGGAGGATGATGCCGCGGCGGAAGAGAGCGACTCCTCCGAGGACGAGGTGATTCAGCTGCTCCACGGCCATTTTAGTTGCGTACCCGGGGACGGACGGACGGACTATTATCAATTGGCTTTGCTGTGCTGCAGGTTGCGCCGCGGAACACCGTCGGGGACGTGCCGCTTAAGTGGTACAAGGACGAGGAGCACATCGGGTACGACATCTCCGGGAGGAAGATCAAGAAGCGGGACAGGGAGGGCAAAATCGACAGCTTCCTCAGCAGCAAAGATAATGATGATGACTGGTACGAGGCTCCAACTCGATTGGCTGCTATATAGGGTCGTGTGCCCAACTTACTACGTGCTCGTGAGAACTTGAGGATGGGATTAGTTATCCGTCTGATGTAACTTCAGTTTTACTTACAGCTAAGGAAACAGGGGCTGAACAAATGTTGAGCGGTTTAGCTTCTGTATAAGTGCTTTTATCATCTCACTCCAGTCTGTCATACTCAAAGACTAGCTACTAGCCTATGCCCAGTTCTGATTTTAAACTCTGCATATACTCAGCTGATATAAGAAAGCCTTGCCAAGTATCCCTGCAGTCTTGCACGATATGGAGTCAAAATGTTTTTGAAAAATTTCATGGTTCAGTGCCCCAGATTTCACACGTCTTGCAAAATGTTTTTCCTCCCTTACATTCATTCACACATTGTCTGCTGCTAGGTTAGGTGGGTCTGGATTTCCTTACTGATTAAATGCCCCATCCTCACTTCCTGCTGTTGCCAAGTATAGGTTAAAGATTTGGGATGACTATAATGCCGAGGAGGTGAAGATTACCAAGGAAGAAGCTAAGATAATTAGTAGAATGATGAAGGGGAAGACTCCACATGCCAATGTTGATCCATATCCAGTAAGTGTACCTGCCAATATCATCGAACATTTATTTGAAGTGTTCATTTTGTAACTAAAAAAGACCTAGTTGGTCTGCATAGTGGTTATTATTTGCTATCGTCACTATGCTTGTGAATCTGTGTAGATGAACATTTAGAAGTGAATTCCATGCTGGCATTTACTAAGCGTCATGCATAATACTGATTTTTTACGGATGTAACTTGTACTTACCTGTACAAGTAATATTTAAGCTGTAGTTGACATGGCAGTGGAGATTATGTACATGCATGCAAATTGAAGCTATTCTTTTACAGTTCATGGTTTCCTTTCATTTTCTCTATAATGTTCAACACAGAGCGAGTAGACTTCTCTTAGTATTATGTTGACTGGTTTGAATATGGTGATCACTGAAGTTAATTCTTTTGCAATTTATGGTTTCCTTCCCCTTTCTATACATATAACTATTATGCTCAACATGGGCTGAGTAAACTTTTCTCGTAGGATTATGTTGACTGGTTTGAATATGCTGATAAAGGCCATCCACTTTCTAACGCTCCTGAGCCAAAGAGGCGATTTGTGCCCTCAAAATGGGAGCAAAAGAAGGTATATCATCAGTTTCCTTATCTTCTATGTTATGTTAGAGCTTTTGATAAAATCTACATGCTCTTTAATTTCTAATAAGATATAACTAAGTGCATGGATGTCTTGTTAATCTGTCTGTTCGAGATCTGAAGTATCTTGCTTAAGAAAAGAAATACCCTATTAAAATGTGTTTTATACAGAATGTTTTAAGAAATTTGTGAGACAGTGAACTCATGATTATTGGCAGGTCACGGGTTCCTGCTTTAATAATTTAGTTCATGATTGTGAGGTGTTTCTAGTTTTCATATTTTGCTGGTTGCCTTGGAGTGTTTACTGTTTAGATTTCAGATTGCGCTCTACTAATTTATCGCATGTTGCAGCAAGGGATTACTAATGTTAGTTCAACTTTCACTTTTGTTCAGTTGCCTAGATTTTTGTGGGCAGTCATTGAATTATATCATGTGATATTAGTACTCCATAAACAGACTCAGTAGCCATATGACTAATTCTGTAGGTACTCTCTGAAACTGCTTTGGATTCGTATTGTATATGCTTTCTCGCTGAGCAAGAATATAGAGATTATATGCTGTTAGTACTTAGTACTGGTCAAATAGCCTTAATTTCCACAGGACTTATTTGTTAGTTTCTTTCTGAAACTGCTTTGGAATTGCATTTGTGCTATCACGTTTCTTGCCTGCCATTTATAACTAATAATTAGTTTGCATTGCTATTTACTATATCTTTTACCTCAATTGTTCTTTATGGCAGGTTGTTAAACTTGTTAGAGCCATTCGTAAAGGATGGATCAAGTTTGACAAGCCAAAGGATGAGCCAAACTATTATCTCTTGTGGGGAGATGACACTGATACAGCAGACAATAAGCGGCAAGGCTTGAGCTACATTCCTGCACCTAAACCAAATTTGCCAGGTACCATGCCATCATTTTGCAAGCCATGTCATGCTTACTCGAAAAGCTTCTCGGCAATCTATTTGACCTGATGACCTCCCATTCTGTTGAAATTATGTGAAACAGTTTTGCACTGGGCATTTCTGTTTCTTAGTTGATGTTCTATATTGTGTATGATGCCATTAATTTCTTCTATTCAGGTCATGAAGAGTCGTATAATCCTTCTGTTGAATATATTCCCACACAAGAGGAGATAGATAACTACCAGCTTATGTATGAGGAGGACAGGCCAAAATTCATCCCACGACGGTATTACTTCTACATTGTCATTACGATTTTTCTTATGCATGGTCTGATTCGTCTGAGGAAATTTAGTTACATCACCCCTTTATATTGTGCCATTGATTATGCAGATTTGAATCTCTTAGAAGTGTACCTGCCTACGAGAAGGCACTTAGGGAAGGATTTGATCGGTGCCTAGATCTTTATCTATGTCCTAGAACTCGCAAGAAGCGTGTAAGTGGAGGATCTATCTTCTTTTCATGACTATATATGGGCCTTTATTGCCTGGATTCCAGTTTATCATTTATTATCGTGATGTTCTTTTCAATGCATGATGATTATTTGGCAATTCCACAGATAAACATTGATCCTGAGTCGCTCAAGCCAAAGTTACCCAGTAAAAAGGATCTGAGGCCATATCCACGAACTTGTTACCTTGAGTTCAAGGGCCATGGTGGTCCAGTGACGTCACTGTCAGTTGAAGCAACAGGGCAGTGGATAGCATCAGGTATAGAGTGTAGATATTTATTTTCCCCAAATGATAACGCCCACACGTGTGGCACGAAGCAATTCCGCCCACACGTTTTTTGATGGCAACTTTAGTTACAAGAGGATGGCAACTTTAGTTGTGAAGCATGGCAACTTTCTGTTTGGATGGCAAGTTTCAGTTTTTTTGAGATTTTTTTTTTCCGGATGGCAACTTTAGTGTAAAAAACGTGTGGGCGGTGTTACTACATGCCACACGTGTGGCAGTTATCGGCGTCCTTATTTTCTATGATAATGTTCTGATGGTTCAAATAGTAATGAACTCAATGTTATTAGTTAATTTACATTTTCAATGTGACCAACTTTATTAGTATGCATCGTATACAAAAGTAGTAAATGACAGTGCTGTGAAACATAACTGTAATGGCAAATATTATTGACCAATCTCAAGTTTCCAAAAAATGGAGGGTCTTATATTTGTAGAAGGATGAGGAATTGGGCCGTGAAAAGGCCCCTTTGCTGCATGAAATGATCTCATAAACTTGAGCATGGCATTGTCTTATATTACAGTTCTTCTTTGCTGAAGGTTCATCTGATGGAACAATTCGTGTTTGGGAGGTTGAAACTGGTCGCTGTCTTAAGGTTTTCAATGTTGGTGCTGATGTCCATCATATTTCGTGGAATCCTTCACCTGAGAGGCCCATTCTGGCTGCTATTGTGTATGCCTTCGCCATTCACAAGTATACTTCATTTTCTGGTGTTACACATTCTCACCATTCATCTTATGTTGTGCAGTGGCCGTGATCTTCTGCTTCTTAACGCTGAGGTGGGGGATGAGGAAACACAAGTGAGGACAAAGCAGCTCCTCCATGTCGAGGAACCGACCCCTGAAGATGATGGTAATAGTAGTTGTCAACCAAACAATTCTTCCACCTATCTTATTCAGTGTGTTCTTAAATATTTAATTATGTTGCAGGTGATAAGAAACCAGCTGTGAGGTGGGTGAAGAATGACAAATTTGACGGAATCACATTGATTCATCATAGGGTATAGTACTTGAGGGTTACTTATCATTCTCCTAAATGCGTAGGCTTTTTGTTCGCATGCTTACATCTGTTTTATTGTTCAGGCTGCATCAACCGTGGAGTGGCATTCAAAGGGAGACTATTTCACGACAGTCGTGCCAACTGATATCCTGTTTGCTTTGTTTAATTTACAAGTGATGCATGAGCATAATAACAAATATGTTCTAAAATAATTTTCTCTAGTTTCAATCTTGGAGCTGCCATGCAACATTCTAACTATATCAAGATAATCATTTGCGACGTTTCTAAAGTGTGTGCCCCAGCAAAATTGGCTTTTCTTTCTTTGTTTTGGAGCTGTGTGCTTTTCTTTCTTTATTGGGTCTCACTCTTTCAATTCATAGTTACTGTAGATATGCATCCCCGCCAACGTAGTGTGTAAACAGATTCTTCACATTTTGAATATCTTTTCTTTCGTTTGTATACCTTAATTCCTTTGTACGTGAATCAAGGGCTGTACTGTTGCATCAGCTCTCCAAGAAGCATTCTCACCATCCTTTCCGTAAATTGCCGGGACTCCCTGTTGCAGCAGTATTCCATCCAACTCAAAAGATGTTCTTTGTTGCCACTAAGAAGTTTGTTCAGGTTTATGATCTCCAAAAGGCAGAGGTAGTCAAGAAGCTGGAGTCAGGTCTTCGTGAGATTTCCTCTATCTCTATCCACCCTGGTGGTACGTATAAAATCAACTGATTACTAATTTACCAGTTGATAAATCTTGAGTTGGTTCATATTACCTTTGCTATTCTAAGCTGTAAACCATTGGTTAAATTAATGGTAGTGCTACATTGTTTGTTGGATCGCCTTTTTATTGGCATTGCAATTCTTTCATGCAGGCGATAATGTTATTGTGGGAAGTAAAGATGGTAAATTGTGCTGGTTTGACACTGATCTGTCTACAAGGCCGTACAAGATGTTAAAGTACTACTTCTCTTACATTTAGTTTCTTTCTTGTATTTTTGGTTTCAGTTTTTGTATAGAACTATAGATACGTTGCCAATGTTACTGTTTTAGGCAGTCGGTTGCTTATTATTTTAGCTTTTCTTTGTTCAATTTACTTCAGATAACTTAACGTTTTTTATGGAGCTTATTACAAAGTGTTTTTATGTACTAATTACTAAATGCTTTAATAACAATGTACAATACGGGCAACATGCTTTTCCATCTGATGTGGGCACCTATTTTAATCAAGCAACAGTACATGCCACATGCTTTGCTATCTGATGCAGCCACAGATGACTCCATTACGCTAGCCTTCAAAGTCATGCCGACCTATTCTTTCTCGACATCACCACTATGCGCAAAAGTGTTCCCTATTAAATGTCGATGATTTACACTGTTTAGTCTAGTTTTTTTGAATTTTGTACTGTAAGAAATTCTCATGTTTTTTCCAGTTTCAGTTACTGCTCTGTTTAAAAAAACATCAGATACAGTTCTTTTTATGGATAATACCCACTAGTTATACTTATCCTGTTCTGTATGAGTTTATATTTTGTATTTTATTTTCTTTAATTCAGGAACCACTCGAAGGATATAACCAGTGTTACTTTCCACCGGAGATACCCTCTTTTTGCCTCATCGTCGGAGGATTGTACAGCCCATGTGTTCCATGGGATGGTTTATGCTGATCTCAACCAGAACCCACTTATTGTGCCATTGGAGATTCTTCGTGGCCATTTGAGTTCAGATAGAAGAGGTATATTGTCATACATCATGTGGTTTCTATAATTTGCATTATTTTACATTTTTTGTTGATTCTTATTTGCGTAGACATTTCGATCAAAACAGATATATGTCAGTGGTTAAACTCTGTTTACATCGTTATGTTTTTCACTGGAAGAATGCAAGTCATATACTTTGCTTTGAACCTTGCATTCTGGAGTCCTCGAATCCATATGATGTGAGTTTGAACTGAAGCATACATGTGCTTGTGCTGATATGCCATGTTCTCCTATTTGATCACTTACAAATTACAGTAAATTGCTTATAGCTGTACCTGCTTTGTTGGTGCTTGGATTTTTTTTGAGAACCAGGGACAGACTAGCGTAATATTGAGCCTGTAATGTTGTAGCATGTATCTTGTTAAATTGAAATTATTCGCACGGAAGAAACTTAGTTTCAGTGTCCATTGAACCAAGCACTCTAGGTATATATGGGCTCGCAAGGATGCATAGGCAAATTCAAGATTTGGGCAGGATCCAACTTTGTACGCCCAGAAGGAAATATGTATTTATATTATATTTTGTGTTGCTTGAAGCTATATATTTTTGTTTATAACAATTATCTATGATATATTTTGCTAACCAGTTAGCCACACAAGGTTATGCAAATAGCAAGTATCTGTAACTATATGTTTTGGTTTTGTTGCTTTGCAGGAGTTTTGGATTGCAAATTCCACCCAAGACAACCGTGGTTGTTCACCGCCGGTGCCGACTCGATGATTAGGCTTTATTGCGACTGATGACGATGCTTTCAAGGAGCATACATTTTAGGTGCCAATTTCTACGAGTAGCTTTTCATGATGATTATATTCTACCGTTTCGCCAAGAGTTGCAGACCGGGGCCAGGAAGGATTTCCTCTCGTGCTGCAGTTTTTGTGATCGCAGTTTTGTTTGGAGAGATTGTTGTATCTTTTTTCTTAGTCATTATGTATAACAATTAGATGAGGTGCAGAGCCTTGGCTTGTAATGACAACAGGGAGTGGTAAGAGAAGTTTGAGCCTTTTGTTGGTGCTATTTATTCTTGTAGTTACATGGTCTCCCAGGCCAATGCAGCTGAGCATCAGCATAGTTGCTGCTGCTGCTGCTGCTGCTGTCGCCAGCTTCTTTGGCTCTGTGCTGAGCCATGCTGTAGTGTTGTCCACCCTGTTGGTTGGCTTCGAAGGCGCTCTTCAAATTTACCCAAAGAAATGCAGGTTTGCGTGGATGTATCTATCTGAAGTGATTCAAAACAAGTTGCAATGAATGTTATGTTTGGGCACAATTGCAGCAGAGTTATGTTTGGTGCAATCGCAGCAGTGTAACTTTCTTGGACGATTTTGATGGCCTCTACATGTAATTATGATTTTGATTTGCAGGGGTGTCGCATAGATAGGCGCAGGTTGGGATGACGCCGAATTGTGGATACCCAGTAACTCAACTTAAGCAAGTGTTGCAAAACTCGTGTGATAATATATGGTAAAGATAGTCACAGTCTAAACAGCCCCTTAATTGAAGTTGGGGAACGCCGAACATGCAACAGGTGGGCTTGAAAAATCTGTTCCTGGTGGACGCCTCGCCAGAGAAGCTGCGGCGCTCACCGGCAGTGCCTGAGGTCACGCGGGGTGGGGGGAGGGGAGGATCAAACAAGGAGCCAGGGAGGGAGGTCGAGTGGTGAAAGGAAGAGGAAGGTAAGGCAAAAGAAAAAAAACTCGGAGGAGGACGCGCGACAGACGACACTGGATCGAGGTGGATCGAACGCTAGCTCCACGACCGGCCGAACGTTTCGGCGGCGCGCTGATGTGAAATGTTTTCCTTTTTTTTGAAGCAGACAATGGAGCTGCAATCACCGTTGATGGCCTGGTAGCCGTCGTCGACGCAATTTCGTGCAACGAGCATCAACGGCGAGGGACGACGGTGGAGCTACGACCGGGGGAGCTAGAAGCGTCGCTGCTGCAAGCTGCAACTGCAGATGCAGTTCTTTCATGCGTTGCGACGGCAATGAGGACGACCGGCGAGGGTTGGAAGCGGCGACGGGGAACGGACGGCGAGGGTGGGGACCGGCGATGAGGACGGCCACCAGAAGGGATAGGAGGCGCGGCACCGCGCAGCCCGAGCGGGGGATCGAGCGTGAGGAAAAAGAAACCGGGGTGATTTTTTTTTTGCTCCAGATCCAACGGACGGGCGGCTCACATCTAACGTCTAGGGCTGGACCGACTGAAATTTTCATCCGGCGCGTCAGCGCCTTACAGTGCCCTTAAAAAACCACAATGTGCAAACTTCTCGTCCCCTTTGCACATGGAAAACTAATTTCATCCAATGTGCGGATCAAACTGAGGCGTCATTGGTGGTGATTTAGAAATGGTTATTTCTTGGTCGCCGCAGGATTGAAAATAGCTAAACCGAAAAAGCCCTTCAGGTAATCGAGGATAAAGTGAAATATTTTCAAAAAGGGGGCGTGGTATCAATCAATGTCTAAGCATGTGTGAGGATCACACATTTGCCCCCCAAATGTTTTTGGTGAGTTGGGTATGGGTAAGAGCAACTCTAGCAGACCCTGCATAACGCCCCGGCCTGTAAAATAACCGTCAAATTGCGGGTCGGGGTCAGAAAATATGCACGAGCAGACCCCGCATCCCGCCCCGGCTCACAAAATTTTTTGCGGGGCGCGGCAAATCTTCTCCCCCAATCTCTATTTTCACGGGCTGGGAGGCCGACCCGAGCTCAACCCCTATCCCGTGTGAGATTTGGCGGGAGGGATATTTCCGCGCGGCCCTTCCCGCTCCCCGCACCCTCCGCCACCATTGCCCCCACTCCGCAAGCTTCGGCTGCTCCTCCCCTGCCGTCCCTCGCCGCCATGGACAACCTCATGCTGTCCCCTGTCACCGTCGAGGTCGCGCACGCCCCTTCCCCTCGGGCAGATCTCGTCGCCGGCCATGTTGGCCCCGCCGCCGTCGCCCAAGCCCATGCCGCGCCTCCCCGCAAGCGGCAGGGCAACGTGGTCGTGCAGGGCGGGTATCCGGCCGCCCCCGCCGCGATGACCCGTGCTCCGGGCGCCAACTCGGCAGCGCGATCTCGGCCGGCGGCGGAGAAGGTCAGCAAGGTCGCGGGCGTAAAGCGGAGGAAGGTTCCGGCTTCAAAGAAGCCACCTTCTTCAACCTCTCGCTCCATCCCCCCCGCAAGGAGGTGCTTCGGCGATGCCGTTCAACGGTGCCGCTCCTCCCACAAGCGAGGTGTTCGACGAAATGGCCGGAAGGTATGCGTCTTCGGTCTTGGCGATTCCCTTTCATTTTTCGCCATTATTCTCGATAGCGCGTGACTTGTTATCGTTCGCTATAGCGGTGGTTCGAACAATGCAACAACCGAGTTCGTGAACTTGTTGGACACGAACGCGGCTGACATTGATCAAGTCCCTTTCGAACCATTCGACTACAATGAAACGGAGGGCGGTGTGGATGATCATGGTTGTGCGGACGAATTGGAGGAGATCGAAGCGGAAGCGTTTGAGCAATCGCAAGCAAAATTTGGGAAAAGCATAAGATCGAAGAACTACACGATCTTGAAAGATCAAGCTTTGATTCAAGCATGGAGTGCGGTGTCTCTTGATGCATGCACGGGTACTTCTCAAACTTCCAAGAGATATTGACAAAGGATCGAAGATCAATACTTCCGCATTATGGCAAAGCATCCCAATAGGACTCCACGCACATTTCGGTCGCTTCAAGGGCGTTGGGAGAATATCAAGCCTATGTGCAGCCGTTGGGCAACTTGCTTGGAGCAAGTACGCAATGCACCTCCAAGTGGCACCGTGGAGTCCGACTATGTAAGTTTGTTTTGCCTTTGTTCAAATTGTGCATCATCATATTGCATCATGGAAAATGATTGGATCACTTTGTTCACATTGCCACTACTAGGGAAAACCCTAGTAGTAGCGCGGGTTTTGAGGCTAGCAGCAGCACGGGTGGCCGTGCTACTAATAAGGCGCTACAGCTAACTTATAGTAGTAGCGTGGTCCTTACTCGCGCTACTACAGTTGACGATATCAGCAGCGCTTTTTATGAACGCGCTACTATTACTTAGATGTAGCGATTTCGCAGTCCCTCGCTACTGCTATATCTTTCATCATTTTCCCCCGTACCCCTTTCCCTTTCAGTTTCCCTTTCAGATACTAGATACTAGGTACTGCTAGTAGATATCAAATTCATAAACCATTACTGGGTAGTACTCCCTTCGTTCCAAATTACTCGTCGTGGTTTTAGTTCAAACCACGACAAGTAATTTGGAACGAAGGGAGTACTAGATAACAATTTAATGCATAGTCAACATGCATCCTCAAGCAGTACAAGGTCATATCAACGGCGATCATCATATGTAGTTCTAGATGATATCGACGATGATCATCATATGTAGTTCTAGATGATATAGCCACACACACATATGTGGTTCTAGATGATATCGAAGACAATCATCATCCTCAAGCTTGGGCGGTTGGTGTTCCTGATAGTAATTAGGATGGCCTGTCCAACACTAAGATTCTTGCCATCAAGGAATTTCTTCCACCCAACCGAGTTTAAGTGTGTGCGACCGTCCGTGTCCACGCGGTAAGTACAGGTTGTGACGGAGCCCCTTGCAGTAAGGCGTAGTCCAGCCGAGCCTTCTTCATCAGGCTCGATACCATAACTCACAGATATGCTCTTTGCCAATTTCTGAATAAGAAAAACATTTCAATTAATAAATAGCCTCGCAAATAAGTACATATGGATTATCTACACTATTAATAGTTTTCTTAGATTCTACACTAATAAGCATGTGATCGAACTCTACACTAAAACATATCATCGACTAGATTCCACACAACATACCATATCATTGGACTGTACACTAAGTATTTCATCGGATAATTTGCATTTGTAAGTATAACATACCATATCATGTCGATCAACCATGGTATTTGTCAGGCGGGTCACGAATGGCACCCCGACAAAGTCAGCACGTGGCGGAATTATGTCCCACAGGTTGGACACCCCCTCATCGCTCAGCCTTGTTCTTTGAGCTACGATGGCTTCATGAAGTGGGTCATCATCATCTTCATCGAGTGGGTCCTCATTATCTTCATCATCTTCCACCAGGTTGAGATAAATGACAACCAGCTTGGGTCTTTCTGCTCTGAAGGAAAAGCTGATCAACTCACCACCAGTAAGACGCATGCGAGCGACGAAACGGGCCCATCCATCTCCTCCAATCTGCGAAATATTGCGTCCTTTCTCGACCTCGATAGTGTACGGCCCCCCAGGAGCCTCAAATGTCACAGTGTCTCCTGTCAGCTTGTTGAATTTCAACCTCATATTGCATGGGACGATCTGTGTAAAATAAGCAAAATGATACAATGCAGTAATGCCAACACTAAAAATAAAATAGTTATTACATTTCATCTAATTTCTTATCACCGCATGACGAAAACCCGGCTGGAAGTAGATATCGAACAGCTTGCCAGTTGCAAGGCTGCTCGCGCACCTTAACTTGCACAGTCGACATAGTGGTGGTGGTGGTGGCGCCATTTTTCCTAAAACAATATAAGCAAAGGATTAACGATCCACTTCATAGGAAAGAAACACAGTAGCATGAGATATTTTTGGTTCTTTCGCGAGAAGCAATTTGATGGACAATTATAATCCTAAGATCTAGTATCATATTAGATGACAAGGTACCACCTACATTTTGCCAAAAAGTAACTAAATCAACTAAATGAAAATGTTCTAAATCAACTAAATGAAAATGGTGCATACTAAATCAACTAAATGAACTAGCCTACTAAATTAACTAAATCAAAATGTTCTAAATCAACTAAATGAACTAGCCTACTAAATCAAAATGTTCTAAATCAACTAAATGAACTAGCCTACTAAATCAACTTAATCAAAATGTTCTAAATCAACTAAATGAACTAGCCTACTAAATCAACTAAATCAAAATGTTCGAAATCAACTAAATCAAAATGTTCTAAATCAACTAAATCAACTAGCCTACTAAATCAACTAAATCAAAATGTAGGGAGGACGGAGGAGGAGGCCGGTACCGAGTCCAGCAAGGAGGAGGAGGGGCCGGCCGACGGCCAGTGGAGGGAGGACGGAGGAGGAAGGCGGAGCGAGAAGGGGCCGGCCGGCGGCCAGTGGAGGGAGGACGGAGGAGGAAGGGGGAGCGAGGAGGGGCCGGCCAGCGGCGAGTGGAGAGGGAGGACGAAGGAGGAGGCCGGTACCGAGCCCAGCAAGGAGGAGGAGGTCACGGCGGTGCAGAGGGAGGAGGGGCGACGGGGGAGGACCGGCGCGGGGGATTGAAAGGGATCCAGTGAGTGTGTGACTGTGAGTGGATCGGATAGAGGAGATAGGGTGGGAGATGTAATGGCTTAGCAGTAACGCGCTATAGAGAAAGACACTACTGCTAAACTACATAGCAGCAACGCCTTTCACAAAGAAGCGCTACTGCTATGTGTCAGCATGTAAAAATAGACTTATAGTTCAATGTATCAAAAATACATTGATCATCAACGATCCTTTTGTGTACAATCTGATTTGTCAATATGAGTCCTCACCGGTTTAGGAACAAGTGAAGACTCATATTGCAGCCACAAATTCTACACATAGTGTTCAATGAAGACCAAGTGCTTATCAAAGTTTGAGA